TTCCCTCCTCTGCTCCACTCACCCCAAAACTTATTTTTTAAATTATTTAATTTAATTTATTATTAATATTTTCCAGTTTGATCAGAGAGAGAGAGAGAGAGAGAAAGTGAGAAAGCAAGCCTCCAGGTCTAGGACTTGAACCGTAGTTGGCTACGTGGGAATCCAATGCCTTTTACCACCATTCTACCTGCCGCCCCACCCCCCCAAATATCTTTTAATATTGTTCCTTGAAGGAGCAATGACATTTTCATTTATCTGTATCTACATAGAGAACTATTATAAATACCAGAATATAAAGTATTTATACACAGTATTACATACTTGCAGGCCCATACACAAGCCTATACCTCCACACACTTACACACGGCATTATTATAGACCCCTTTATAAGAGCTTTTTCTTAAAAGTAATTATTGAAAGGGTCAACAGATGGTGTGGTGATTAAGGTGGTTGGACGCCCACATGGCTGACCATAGTTTGAGTCCTGGACCTGGCAGCTTGCTTTCTCATTTTCCTTTTTTCTCTTTAGTCAACTTTAAATAAATAAAATAAAATAATATAATACAAAGAATAAAAATTAATAAAATAGTTCTTAAAAAAAAAAAAGGAATAGTTTGAGCTGACAGGTAGCATGGTGGTTAAAGGAGCTGGACTCCCACATGGCCAACCGCGGCTCAGGTCCTGAACTTGGTGGGTTGCTTTCTCACTTTCTCTCTCTCTCTCTCTCTCTCTCTCTCTCTCTCTGTCCGTCTCTAGTGAAATTAAAATAAATAAGCAAATAAATGAATGGATAAAGTGAAATAAAATAATTCTTAAAAAATTATTTATTTTATTCCATTACATTAATTATTATTATTACTTTTTTTAAAATTTGACCAGAGAGAGACAGAAAAATAGAGAAAGGGAAAGTGAGAAAGGAAGCCACCAGATCTGGGACTCAAACTGTAGTTAGCCATGTGGGAATCCAATGCCTTTAACCACTACACCACCTGCCAGCTCCCTTTTAAAGTCTTTATATCACATCAGTTTTCTTAAAATTATCTATCCCTCATTAGTCTATGATGTCAATAAGAATAAGGATTCATTTTTATATAGCCAAGGTCTAATAAAGGCATTAAAAACCATGCTATTGGGGCTGGCAGGTGGTATGAATGGTGAAGGGGACTGGACTCCCACATGACCAACTGTGATTCAAGTTCCAGACCTGGTGGCTTGCTTTCTCACTTTTTCTCTCTCTCACTCTGTCCCTCTCTGGTGAAATTTAAATAAGTAGATAGATAAATAAATAAAGTTAAATAAAGCAATTCTTTAAGAAATGCTATTAGAGAAGAAATACAGATAACGTAATACAATGAAGTTGGATAGTGGAGGAAAATGTGGACACGATGCCAGAATTACCACATCTTACCATGAGGGGCAGCCTTACTCAGCTTTTAGGATATAGATGTTTTTCTATTTTGTGGAAATGTTGTCCTAATTAATAGATTTTCTGTTTACTAAAAGAACCAAGAAATCAAGATTGCTGTAAAAAATGCCCAATAAACATTTGAAAATAAATAATTTGGACAATAACATTAGGTTACCTTCTGAAGAGCAGCTACAATGAAATTCCTTCATATAGTAAATACACAGACATACTGAGGTTTCTGATGACTTCATTTAATACTTCATTCTTGAATAATGGAGAGATCCCAGGGAACCTAATTGTGTAGTATGCATCATACTAATGTTTGTTTTTTTTTTTTTTTAATTTGACAGAGGGCATGTGTGTGCAACAGAGAGAGAGAAGAAGAATGAGAAAGCATCCCTCCGTGGGACATGGTCATGTTTGCAATCTATTTTCCTCCATTTTTCCACCCTGTCTGGATTTTGAGCACTCACAAACAAATGCCTTGTGTTTTTCAAGGGGCTATGTCTGGGATTCAAACTATGCAGTTGACCATGTGGATCCTAGTTCCCTTAACCGCCAAGCCACAGAGTTGTCCCAGTATACTGATGCTCTTTTTTTTTTTTGGAGAAGTTTTTGCTATATAGGGTGCGTGCACTTACTACAAAGACAGAGAGGAGAGACAGAGATAGAAAGCGAGAAATCAACCCCCCGGGGGGATGGCCATGCTGCAATCTCTTCTCCTCAATTTTCTTCTTGGGATCTTGGGCATACATGCACACATGCCCAGTGTGAGTTTAAGCCACTGAGTCAAGGACTTGAACCACATCGGCTACATGGGAGTTCAGCGACATAGGCATTATGCCAACTGCTGGTCCCTATACTGATGTTCTTAAAACTATCTTTGGCACATTATACATTTTGTAGGTACTCAAAGGTATCAGACTTAAAGCACTGGCAGCCTGTATTTCAGGTTAAGGGCTGATTCATGTGCTTTGGCAATGAGACTTAGATGATCAGGTTAACATTCTACTTAAAAATGAGTAATAGTATCACCATCCATAAACCATCATGTTTAAGTGTTAGATGTTTTGCTTATTTGTGTCTGACTGCATAGTTTTGTTGACTGTATATTTTTCTTTTTGCTCATTTAGCATAATCAACACTGACCTTTAATCAGAGTAATCCATGTAACTACCAGGCTGATCAAAGTTCATATATGAGACTATCTCCCTCTTGAGATATAAAGTACACTTCACTTATTTCATGTGTTTATAACACATGAAAGATATATTCTTCTTACATTAGGAAAACAAATTTTATAAACATGAGCACTGCTCTTACCTCAAAATCAATATCTGAACAACAGCTGCACACAACACATGGACCAGCAATTTTTAGCACATCCTCTCTTTTCTCATTTTGAATTGTAAATTTTGGCAGACATGGGTGCCAGGTCTGAGAAACATAACCTATTGGTACACCACGAGGAGCTTGGATTTCTATCTACAAAAGCAAAAGAGTATATGTAAATGAAATCACCAGAATGTCTAAGTTCCGTGAAAAATTCCTGCT